TCAAGGCAACCGCTGCAAAAGACGAAAAATGCATCGAGTTGTGGCCGTGCGTCCCAAAGGCATCCAAGGTGCACGCCGCAAGCACGCACCCCGAGAGGGTGGCCGTGCAAGTCTGGGTGAAAGGAGATCCAAATGGGGCCACGCCCACGACCTTCTACTTGCACCCCGAGATCAAGCCGCCTGCGGACAAGACGCCCGCCGACGTGGCTGACCACGATGTGCGGTTGAGAGCATGGAAGTGGGATGCGCAAGAGACAATGCACGTCTTCTGGCAGTCAACAGAGTCACGGAACAGGAGATCCAGCAGAGAAACAGCCGTAATGAAAGCGCAGTTGCGCGCATCAACATGGAGCTGGAGACGAAAGAATTGGCGGTGTGCGTGCCTGGGACAGGCGGGGTCGTGCTCGCCGTGAATGTCCCTGTGCTGGTGAATACCACGGCCGTGAAGAAAGGAGAAGAGCTCCTGTGGGAGGCGAGACCCAAAACCGCACCGAAGAGGAAGGCGGCCGAGGAGACGTGGAAGACGGACGCGGCCAAGAGGGCCAAAGGGAAGCCTTCGGGCCAGCCCGCGCCGAAGAAATCGAAGAAAGGGTTCGACGAAAGCGGGAAGATGTCGCTCTAAGTAATTCAGAAGCCGCAGTGGCGGCAGTCAGGGCGGCTTGCTCGCGAGACCGCAGTTGCGGGCAACAGGCCGAAGGGGGGGCGCACGCGTGACCGCTGTTGCGGAGCGCTCGTGTAGTTTGCAGTGTCACTGCTTCTGTTAGCTGATGCCGCAGTAGCGGACCGCTGACGATCGAGCACGGAGGTTCGAAACGGACCTCCTCCCTCCCTTCTCCCTCTCCTCCCTCGCCCTTCATCCACTTCCTCCCTCTCTCCTCCTCCTTTCTCCCCTTCCTCCCAAGCTGGAAGCCGAAACTACTCATTTCCTCACTCCCTCCCTCCCTCCCTGGAGGCCCTGGAGGGCGTCCGCCCTGGAGGGCCTGGAGGGCCCTGGAGGCCTTGGAGGGCCTCCCTGGAGGCCCTGGAGGGCCTCCCTGGAGGCCCTGGAGGGCCTGGAGGGCCCTGTGCTGAGGGCGGAGGCCCTGGAGGGCCTCCGCCCTCAGGGTGCTTCAAAGCAGTGCCGCGGCACTGCTTTGAAGCCACAGATGCTTCAAAGCAGTGCCCCGGCACTGCTTTGAAGCACCCTGAGGGCGGAGGCCCTCCAGGGAGGCGCGAGGATCGCAGGGACCGAGGGAGGCCCTCCAGGGAGGCGTTCAGCTCGCCAACTGGCTCAACCGCGCGCGGCCCCACTGCCCGCACCCCCGCCTTGCCCGCAGTTGCGGCTGTGTCCAGCGCAGTAGCACACATGCCGACTTCGAGCGAATGGAGCCCTGTGTGCGTTGAGAAGGTCTTGTGCATCCGTGGAGGTTGGCTTGCGCCGACCACCCCCATCCCCGAAAAGGATGTCAAGGTGCTCCACGCATGGCCCCTCGGAGAGATAACTTTCGTGCACGTGAACATGCAAAAGGCTTGGCTGCTCAAGGTGTGCGCCAAAGGTAAACCGACCGCAGGGGCCTTGAAGGCCTCCAAGGCCTGGGACGCGCTGAAGAAAGAACTCGCGAAGCAGGGCGGCGCCGCAGTTGCGGACGAGGAGAGCGACGGCGACGCGGGGGACGAGGCAGATGACCCCATGTCGGCCCTGGTCAGCTCCACGGACGCCACGAAGAAGCAGGCAGCGACCCCGACCAGCGCCAAGAAGCAGAAGACTGGAACGCGTGCGGCGACTACTGGCCTGCCCAGGGGCGAGGCCGTGGAGTCGGCCATAGCCACTGTGCACTCTGTACAGATGCCCGCAAAGAGCCCCATGAAGTTTCCGCACGACACGGCCGTTCGAAACGTGCGGGTGGCCAGCTTCAAGCGGAGGACGTTGTGGCTGGGCGCTGCAGACCTTGGGTGGCTGATCGACATGATCGTGGACGACGTGAGCCTCGGCGGTGTCCCCGACATCGGCGACGGCGACAAGGGCGAGGCCGCAGTGGCGGACAGGGACTGGGCAACGGCGGTTGACCCTGCCACCCCGCTGGCGAAGCAAAAGGAGGTCGACCCCCTCGTGGCGCAGGGGAGCGGCTCTGGCTTCACCGTCGTTTGGGACTTCAAGGGCGCTTGGGTCGCGACCAACACGCGAGAGTGTGCCAACAAGGGCAAAAGGATCGAGATGGAGGTGAAGAAACTTACAAAGAAGAAGTGGCAGTCGGCGCAGTCGGTGAAGGGCTACGACTACGAGTGGGAGGGCATGACGCAGCACCAGCGCAAGCAAGCGGCTCTGGAGTACCTCGAGCTCCAAATCCCCAGTCTGTTCGACTGAGGCCCGAAGCCGTATGGGCCGCAGTTGCGGTGGGGCTACTGAGTGCCCGCAGTTGCGGGGTGCTGGGTGCGCGTGAACACGCGGAGGGCGAGGCGGTGTGAGGAGGCAGGCGGAAGGTTTAGGGTGTTCCACGGGTGCACGCCTTAGTGCGCCAACTTGTGTGGGCGAGCGTTTTTCTTAGAGAAGCATGGAGTGAAGCATCGAAACCCTGTGCGCGCGATGATTGGGGCGTCCGCGCGGGCGTTGTTGAAAAGTACCTCCTTCTTCGCCCCTCCGCATCGTCTTCAGTTGCTCCTCCCTCCTCCCCTCCCTCTTCCTAGTTCTGTAGCCCGCAGCCGAGTGCCCGGCTCGAGTCGTTCGCCACGCGGCCGCTCATGGATGTTCCCGTGGGGCGGACATGGTATGGCGAGGAGGACGGAACGCATTTCGAGGTGGAGTGGCTCCCTTACGACAGCGGCTGCGCACCGAGGAAAACGAAGTATGGCACCACTGGGCTCGCCAACATCTTGGGCCGCAGTAGCGGCGTTCCGTGCCCCAAGAAGATAAAGGTGCACGCATGTGCGGATATTCCGTGCCTAGCGAAGTGGCCCGCGTCGCAGTACGGCCTTGTTGAGCCGCCTCGCTTTCATTTGCGGCCGTCTGCTTGGCGACCGGGCGCGACGCCACCACCCGCAGTTGCGGCTCCAGGCGGCACCGCAGTTGCGGCTCCCTCGGCCCCTGCACACATAGCACCAGCAACACCAGCAGAACTCGCAGCTCCTGCGCATGAAGGACACGCAGCTCCAGCACCAGAAGCACCCGCAGAACCCAAACCTCCAGCAGCCCCTGTGCCCGAAGCACCCGCAGCAGCAGTCCCTCCAGCTCCTCCAGCTCAAGTGCACGCAACACCAGACCCTCCTGCTGCGCAGGAGACCGCAATTGCGGTTGAAGCTCCTGAGGGAGTGGAAGCGGACAAAGACACACCACTTCCAGCACGCTTGCCACCAGCGCGGCCGCTGCCAGAGAACTGGTCGAA